TGGCACCCCTTCACGCGTTTCGTGGCCCCACAGGGAGCTCCATCTCAGGTCCAAGTGGCGCGCCCCACATGGCGCCGCAGACCAGCCCTCGCCAGGGAGCTCGGCTTCACCGAGTTTATCCGCGAGGCCTGACCTGAGGAGCGCCCCCCCCGAGCCGCGCCTTCTCTCGACTGCCCGCATAATTGTTCGGCCTCGCGCCGCGGACGACCCGCGCGCGTCGCTGGGACCCTCTCGGGGCGACCAGCGCGCGTCGCGGGGATTCCGCGCGGCGCTCTGCTCAGCGCCTCGCTCGCCCGTCGTCGCTCTGCCCAGCGGCCGGAGCCTTGCCCGCAATCAGCCGGCCGGCTAGCTCTCTGTGCTCCGCGCAGCGGACGACCTGCGCGCGTCGCTGGGACCCCTCCGCGGCGACCTGCGCGCGTCGCGGGGACTCCGCGCTGCTCTGCGCCCGCAGCTTTGGATTTTTGGAGCGCGCAGGCAAAGAGGGGGGAAAAGAAGGGACGGAAGCGGGTGCGACCCCCGTGAGGGGCGTGCCGACATGGGCGTCGCGGCGCGCGGGCGCTGCCGTCGGGGTTCCCGCGGAAGCTGCCTGCGGCGGCCACGCCCAGTGTCACAAGTGTTCGGACAGGCATGCTCGAGCCATTCACATTCATATACATTTACACTAGGCGTGGCCAAGATCGCATTCATGCAAATATACTCACCCCCACGCAGACCCATTCACACTCAGACTCTCTCGCGCTCTGGCTCACCCGCGTTCATTCTTTCGTAATCTGACCTATCGTATTCCTTTGCGTTGTGTTCCCCGCCATATTTCGGCATGCCCCTCATGCGGTTCGTGGCCCCATAGGGAGCGCCACCGAAGAAGGTACTCACAATTGCGGCACTCACAACTGCATATGGTTGGGTCTTTCGCCAGGATAATTTATTTCTACTGCTACTGCGACTACTCTTACTACTATGACTACGACTGCGACTACTACTACTACTACTACCACTACTTCTACTACTACTACTGCTACTACTACTACTACTACTACTACTACTACTACTACTACTGCTACTACTGCTACTACTACCACTATTTTGACTACTACGACTATTCCCCCGAATACCGATACTACTACTACAACTACTACAACAACTACTACAACAACAACAACAACTACTACTACTACTACTAGTACTACTAGTACTACGACTACTACTACTACTACTACTACTACTGTTATTGCTACTACTGCTACTATCATTACTACAACCATTACTCCTACTACTTCTACTACGATTACTACTACTAGTTATATCACTCGTACTTGTACCAGTACGATTATTACTACTACTATTACTACTACTACTGATAGTACTACTACTACTACTACTGCTACTACTACTACTACTACTACTACCACTACTACTACTACTACTACTACTACCACTACTACTACTACTACTACTACTACTACTACTACTACCACTACTGCTACTAATATTACTTCTACTACGGCTACTACTACTACCACTACTACTGCTACTTCCCGTGCACCACATCACCACGGCTCAACCGCCTTCGGAAGAGCGTCCTTGTGGCTGCCTCATTTCCAGTATGTAGCGAACACCTCTTCTGGGTGAAATGGCGGGTCTGACGTGCATGCAGCGGCGGGCGCTTATCCGAGGGCAGCTGGTCCCTACGGCCCAAAGTAAAGCGACAGCGGCGGCACAGCAGCACACGGGGCGACCCCAGTACCGCCATCGAGGCCAACTAGCGCGAGTAGGCGCGAGAAGAGGCCAGGATGGCAAGCCAAAGTGGCTAGGCGCACAGCGGCGTCACGGCAGCGCACGGGGCGACCCCAGTACCGCCAGACAGGCCAACAGCGCAAGTAGGCGCGAGAGGAGGCCAGGATGGCAAGCCAAAATGGCAAGCCAGAGTGGCTAGGCGCACAGTTGACCGTGCGAAGAGCGGAGGCCTAAGCACCAGGGCCCGCGGCGCGAGGGGGGGCACCACTGTGGGCGCACCCGCGCAAGCTGGCAAGGCGGCGTTGCTAAAGCTGGAGCGTAAGCGAGCAGACAGGCTCAGCATCCTTGAGAGTGGCAGGCTCGGGATCTTAACATGGACTCACGTAGCCTCCCCGAGGGCTTAGAAGTATACGATGCTGGGGGCCTGCAGAGTCTCAGCGTTCAGGCGGACTGGCCTGTTCCTTGCGCAATGGCTGCGAAGACCTGCGACGGCAGCGCTTGCACTTCTCCCCCGAGGTCGCCACTGCCGCCCGCCCGCCCTGAGGGCCCAAAGATCTGGCGTTCGAGATCCTCACCGAGGGCCACGTTCAGGGCAGCGACATTAGGGATCTGCTGTGGGAGCGGGTCCGTCGGCGGCGGCGGCACCGCAGGGGGCGCCATCAGCGGCGGCGGCGGCGGGGCCATGATGGCCGCTGGCGGGGCTCCAGCAGGCGGTGGTGGCGGGTCCTGGCTGCCGCGGGCCGAGCCAGCTGGGGGGGCACTGGCGGTGCGGACGGGAGTGGCACGCGGGGCGACCCCGGTACCACCCCCGCCGCCCGTGAGGCTGCCCTCCCGGAGGTTGTGGCGGCGCTCATAGGCCGCCAGTTCCTCGCGCGCGGTCGCCAGGCGCTGCCTGCTGGCCTTATTCCGCTGCTTCTTGGTGTAGCCCGCCCACTCTGGATCGTTCAGCCCCCAGGCAACCTGCGAGCACAGGTCGGACCATTTGAACTCGGGCAACCTGCGAGTACAGGTCGGACCGAGTTATAACACTCGTACTTGTACCAGTACGATTACTACTACTACTACTACTACTACTACTACTACTACTACTACTACTACTACTACTACTACGACTACTACTACTACTACTAGTACTACTACTACTACTACTACTACTACTACTACTACTACTACTACTACTACTACTACTACTACTACTACTACTACTACTACTACTACTACTACTACTACTACTACTACTACTACTACTACTACTACTACTACTACTACTACTACTACTACTACTACTACTACTACTACTACTACTACTACTACTACTACTACTACTACTACTACTACTGCTACCAATCGTATCTCTACTACGGCTACTGCTACTACCACTAGTACTACCACTACCACTACTACTACTACTACTACCATTACTACTACTACTACTACTACTACTACTACTACTACTACTACTACTACTACGAGTGCTACTACTACTACTACTACTACTACTACTACTACTACTAACGAGTACTACTACTACTACTACTACTACTACTACTACTACTACTGCAACAACTACTACTACTACCACTACTACTATTACTACTAGTAGTAGTACTACTACTACTACCACTACTACTACTACTACTACTACTACTACTACTACTACTACTACTACTATACTACTACTACTACTACTACTACTATTACTACGACTACTACGACTACTACTACTACTACTACTACCACTACTACTACTACGACTACTACTACTACTACTACTACTGCTACTACTACTACTACTACTACTATTACTACTACTACTACTACTACTACTACTACTACTACTATCATTCACTTAAACAAATATACTAATGCGACTACCTCGACTACGGCTACGACTACGACCATCACTATTTCTTCGACGTCCACTGCCTTATTCCCAGCCCTGCAATCACAACCTCTATTCTTACTCATCTCTGCGACACTTCAGACAATACTTCGTTCCTATTGTTTCTGCGACTTTCTAGTTGTTGCAGTGGTTGCGGTTGCGTTTCCCAGTTTTTTAAGTTTCTCGTAATTGCGATGTGCAAGCTATGTTGCGCAGCATTTGCAAGTCGCAGCCGTACATCGCGGCAACAGGGGCACCACAAGATATGAAGTATTGTGCACCAGCTTACAGGGCTCCATCCAGGCGGTACCAGAGAAGCAGCCAGAAATCGCAACAGGGCGCCAGCCTTAGGGCACCATCTACAGGACACCAATGCGGCAGCCATGATTCCGAGAGTGAGCCAACATTGCACACGCACCACCTCACAGGGTACCACACAGGCACCAAGGCGGCAACCAGACATCACACCAGTCTGGGCCATCACAGGGCGCTGAGCACCAGCCTCAGTGCACCACTTATACAGTGAAGACGCTGACATAAGAACAGGTTCGGGGCCGGAAGGGGCTCGGTGTCGGGGGGTCCTTCCATGATTGTTCCACCAGCGCTCCTTGTGCAGACAGGCTCTGTCTGGGCCCACTCGGGGCTCCGTTCCTTGCGTAGCTTACCTTGTGTTACCGGCTCGACTTTAGAGCACCATGGCGGCATCCAGAAATCGCAAGTGACAGCCAACAGAGGGTTGCCCACAGGGCACTGCCCATCTGGCACCTCGCTTCCTCTTCTTTTCTCTCTTTCCACCCCTAATCATTTCTCCTCCTCCTCCTCCTTCTCCTCACCCTCTCGCGCCTCTCTCGCCGTCTCTCCCGGCGGAAGTCCCAGGAGGTCCCTGGAGGTCGTTTCTAAGCTCGTTGGAAGTCTTCGGGGACCTCTGGAGATCCCAGGATCCTTCCAGAGACCCTCAAAGGACCATGAATCCATGAACGTCCAACCCCTCATCCTTACACCTACCCCTTTTCCTCCTCTTCGCTCCTCCTCCTCACGATTTCTTTCCCAGCCAGCATCCACCATTCTGCCCCACCGAGTTGCGACGACACCAACGGACAACCGACGACGGACCACGCACTATGACGACGATGTCAACGGTTGACGACAGCGCATGACGACGACGGCGTCGGCGGATGACGACCAACACGAAGACGGCGACGACGACGACGACGACAATTGACGAATACGACCACAGACGACGACGATGATAACGGTCGACGACGACAGATGACAACGACGACGAGTGACGACGACGACGACGAAAACGACGACGACGACGAAGTCGACGACGTCGATGGACGAAGACGAAAACTGCGACGCCGAACGACGGCGGCGGTGCGAGGAACGTCGCGCTGGCGTGGATGACGGCAAAGGTGCAGTGCGCGCAGTGGATGCAGGAGCTCGCCCGCGCTCGCGCTCGCGCGCACCCCTTACGTCCTCTTCCCGTCCTTGCCCACGTTCTCTTGACGAGAAGGAGGGAGGAGGACGGCGGGAATCTTGTCCGTCTCCCCGTCTTCTTCGTCCCTCCCCGATCCTCCCCCTCATTTCCGTTCTCAATCGTTCTTCCTCCTCCCCCGCCTCCCTCTCCTTCCAGTCCTCCCCCGTTCTCCCCGTCGTCCCCCGCCTTCTCGCGACGAGAAGGACATGAAAGAGGAAGAGGAGTAGGAGGAGGATGTCGAGAATTTCCTCTCCCTTCTTCCTCCTCTTCCTCCCCGTTTTCCCCCTTGTCCCCCTCATCCCCGTACCCTCCTCCCTCATTCCTGTCCTCCCTCCTTCCCCCTTCTCCTAGACGCGACCATGATCCACCTCCTGTCCCTCCTGCTTGTCTTCCCCCTTCCTCGTTGCGAGCGTCCCTCTTATTTCTTATTTTCAGATGTGCATACCGTCGTGACTCCCAGTGCAGGAGTGAGTCGTTCATGTCCAGCCTGGCTCAAGCTTCAAACTCCCGGACGGAGCGCACAGGGGTGACCACGTCCTGACTGCCTCTGCACCCGAGGCTGGGAGGATTCTCTGATGGAGGCTGCTGTCGGCGGGTCACGCGCTGGCGCGGCCGCGGTCTGCGACGTCGGCGCGAAGGACCGCCCGATCGAGGTTCCAGTGAAGAGCTTTCTGGCCTCGCCACTGAGGTGGTGGTACTAACGTAAATGCAGGCTGCAGGGACAAATTGCCGACGACGCAAGGCTCGCCCTGAAGGACGTCGCGATTGGGTTGTCCTGTCGACTCCCGATCGACGGGATGACCTTCGGTCACGGCGGGCGTCGACAGCGAGAAGGACAAGGATCGCTAAGCGTCGGCTCCGCGGCGAGATGCTCAAGCGCGTTGCTGGCCAGGGTCTCGCGCTACTGGATGTTGGTGTGTCACCCATGCCGAAGCGATCCTCGAGGCCGATGTCTTCCTCGCCTGCGGGCTTCGTGCCGTCGTTCTCAACGGGTCGATCGGACAGATTCTTGTTCCATCCCGGTGTCGCCGATGGATCGTTGAAGTTTTATCTGTTCGGTCTGCATGGGCGGCCTCCAATTGCTCACTTGGTCACCCTCCACCCTCTCCCCGTCTATCTCTCTCTCTCTCTCATTATTTGTGTTGTTTTCCCCTCTCTCTATCCCTCTCTCTCCCTCCCTCCCCTCCTCCCTCTCTCTTTTCTCTCTCCTTTTCTTTCTCCCATTCGTTCATTCTCTTCATCTCTCTCTATATATATGTATTACGTCGCTATCTCTCTCTCTCTCTCTTCCTCTCGTCCTCTCACCTCCTTGCTGTCCACATTGAGTGTTGACTCACCATCTTCATGGATTGCGATCCCTTTCGATATGTTTTCGCTTCACTGATTATCTCTCTCTCGTTCTATCACTCTCTCTCTCTCCCTCGTTATCCTTTTCTCTCGTTGTCTCTGCCCATCTCTTTTCCCCAACCCTCCTTGGCTGGGTATTTGTCTTGCATTGAGCACTACCTCCCGCCTCCCGCGTCCTGCCTCCCGCCTACCGCCCCCCCATCCTTGTCTCCTCTTGCCTTGCCTGGGGGCTGCGATCTGCGAACCTGTCGCCACTGTGGAGGGCTGCTGGTGGGCCCAGCGGAGTGAGGCACCGCGCGGACCTGAGCGGGACCTCCCCGTTCCTGGGGGGCTGCGATCTGCGAACCTGTCGCAACTGTCGAGGGCTGCTGGTGGGTCCAGCGGGGTGAGGCACCGCGCGGACGTGAGCGGGACCTCCCCGTCCCTGGGGGGCTGCGATCTGCGAACCTGTCGCCACTGTGGAGGGCTGCTGGTGGGTCCAGCGGGGTGAGGCACCGCGCGGACCTGAGCGGGACCTCCCCGTTCCTGGGGGGCTGCGATCTGCGAACCTGTCGCCACTGTGGAGGGTTGCTGGTGGGTCCAGCGGGGTGAGGCACCGCGCGGACCTGAGCGGGACCTCCCCGTCCCTGGGGGGCTGCGATCTGCGAACCTGTCGCCACTGTGGAGGGCTGCTGGTGGGTCCAGCGGGGTGAGGCACCGCGCGGACCTGAGCGGGACCTCCCCGTTCCTGGGGGGCTGCGATCTGCGAACCTGTCGCCACTGTGGAGGGCTGCTGGTGAGTCCAGCGGGGTGAGGCACCGCGCGGACCTGAGCGGGACCTCCCCGTTCCTGGGGGGCTGCGATCTGCGAACCTGTCGCCACTGTGGAGGGCTGCTGGTGGGTCCAGCGGGTGAGGCACCGCGCGGACCTGAGCGGGACCTCCCCGTCCCTGGGGGGCTGCGATCTGCGAACCTGTCGCCACCGAGGGCTGAAGCGGAGTGAGGCACCGCGCGGACCTGAGCGGGACCTCCCCGTCCCTGGGGGGCTGCGATCTGCGAACCTGTCGCCAGTTTCGAGGGCTGCTGGTGGGTCCAGCGGGGTGAGGCACCGCGCGGACGTGAGCGGGACCTCCCCGTCCCTGGGTGGCTGCGATTTGCGAACCTGTCGCCACTTTCGAGGGCTGCTGGTGTGCCCAGCGGGGTGAAGCACCGCGCGTACCTGAGCGGGACCTCCCCGTCCCTGGGGGGCTGCGATCTGCGAACCTGTCGCCAGTTTTGAGCGCTGCTGGTGGGTTCAGTGGGGTGAGGCACCGCGCGAACCTGAGCGGGACCTCCCTGTGAGGCTGCGATCTGCGAACTTGTCGCCAGTTTCGAGGGCTGCTGGTGGGTCCAGCGGAGTGAGGCATCGCGCGGACCTGAGCGGGATCTCCCCGTCCCTGGCGGGCTGCGATCTGCGAGTGCAGCCACTGTCGAGCGCTGCTGGTGGGTCCAGCGCAGTGAGGCACCGCGCAGACCTGAGCGGGACCTCCCCGTTCCTGGGGGGCTGCGATCTGCGAACCTGTCGCCACCGTCGAGGGCTGTTGGTGTGCCCAGCGGAGTGAGGCACCGCGCGGACCTGAGCGGGACCTCCCCGTCCCTGGGGGGCTGCGATCTGCGAACCTGTCGCCAGTTTCGAGGGCTGCTGGTGGGTCCAGCGGGGTGAGGCACCGCGCGGACCTGAGCGGGACCTCCCCGTCCCTGGGTGGCTGCGATCTGCGAACCTGTCGCCACCGTCGAGGGCTGTTGGTGTGCCCAGCGGAGTGAGGCACCGCGCGGACCTGAGCGGGACCTCCCCGTCCCTGGGGGGCTGCGATCTGCGAACCTGTCGCCAGTTTCGAGGGCTGCTGGTGGGTCCAGCGGGGTGAGGCACCGCGCGGACCTGAGCGGGACCTCCCCGTCCCTGGGTGGCTGCGATTTGCGAACCTGTCGCCACTTTCGAGGGCTGCTGGTGTGCCCAGCGGGGTGAAGCACCGCGCGTACCTGAGCGGGACCTCCCCGTCCCTGGGGGGCTGCGATCTGCGAACCTGTCGCCAGTTTCGAGGGCTGCTGGTGGGTCCAGCGGGGTGAGGCACCGCGCGGACCTGAGCGGGACCTCCCCGTCCCTGGGTGGCTGCGATCTGCGAACCTGTCGCCAGTTTCGAGGGCTGCTGGTGGGTCCAGCGGGGTGAGGCACCGCGCGGACCTGAGCGGGACCTCCCCGTTCCTGGGGGGCTGCGATCTGCGAACCTGTCGCCAGTTTCGAGGGCTGCTGGTGGGTCCAGCGGGGTGAGGCACCGCGCGGACCTGAGCGGGACCTCCCCGTCCTTGGGGGAGTGCGATCTGCGAACTTGTCGTCACTTTCGAGCGTTGCTGGTGGGCTCGCCACTTTCGAGGGCTGCTGGTGGGTCCAGCGGAGTATGGCACTGCGTACACCTGCCCGGTGCCTCGCCGTCCGCGGGGGGCCATGTCATGTCGTTGTTGCCCCGCCGACGTTTCAAGCCCCTTACCCACCGTCTCCTTTTAGATCTTGCGTCTTCCTTAGTGACTCAGGGGTTCATTTAGTTAGTCATCGTATTTCCGTTGATTCGGGGCCTGCTAACCTTCCGAATGCCGCTCGCAGACGTGTGTGCGTCCATGTCGCGTCGCCGCCTTCTCGTCAAACCTCCCGAGCTACTCCTGCCCTGCATTGCGCAGGGGTTTGGAACGTCGCCAGTTTTCTTTTGTTCTCTCTCTCTCTCTCTTTCTCTCCCTCTCTTTCTCTCCAAACCTTGCACACGCAACTACCTGATGACATTGCACCCCGGGACGACGGTACGGTGGCAGATCTTTGTAAGGCACATCCCAAGATACCTCCCACTTCTGCAGATCTCTGATTTGTGTGTTGTTCTGGGAGCGCGCAGCGCAGCGATGCGCGTTGCGGGCTACTGTTCGAGCTTCCGCCCCCCTCTTCCCTACCCTTCCTTCTTCCTTGTCCCCCTCCTCGTCGTCCTCGTCCTTCTAGGATGGCTCTGCGCCACTGTGATGCACAAGCCAAGGTTTCGCGCGCGGGCTCGCCTGTGGCATATTGGTCTTGCGTGGCCTCCAGTTTGCTTTTCGCAACTCGTACGTGCCATCTTCGAAGTGGAGCGCGATTATTGGAGGGGGAAAGAAAGGAGGAACAAAGAAAGGGAGAGAAGGACAGCGAGCAATAGAAGGACGCAAACAAGCAAGACGCCAAAAAGAAAACAATTGTCCTGGCGAAGGACCCAACCATATGCAGTTGTGAATGCCGTCGTTGGGGGTATCGCCTTCGGGGGATCTCCTCATTGGGCTGGGCGTTTGCGAGCGCTGGCTTTTGGGCTCCCGGTACGGCTCTTTGAAGTGTCGCGAAACGTGCGGGAAGACGCTCGCATTTGGGCTTTCGGCTGGGCTCCCTATGGAGCCCCGGAGCGTGTGAGGGGGGTTCCAAAATAGGTGCGATGAATGCATGCGAGCGCTGGCATGTGGGCCTTCGGTTGGGCTCCTCGTGGGGCCACGAAACGTGTGAAGGGCGTGCCAAAATGGGCGCGGTGGGCGCATGCGAACGCTGGCATTTTGGCCGTCGGTGGGGCTCCCCATGAGGCCCCGAAATGTGTGAAGGGTGTGCCACGATGGGTGTGGTGGGCGCGTGCGACTGCTGGCATGTTTTGCCTTCGTTGGGGCTCCCTGTGGGGCGACGAAACGTATGCGGGGTGTGCCACAATGGGTGCGGCTGGCGCAAGCGAGCGCTTGCATGCGGGCCCTCGGAGGGGCTCCCTGTGGGGCGCCGAAACGTGTGAGTGGTGTGCCAAAATGGGTGCGGTGGGCGCTTGCGAACGCTGACGCTTGGGCCTTCGGTGGGGTTCCACGTGGGGCCCCAGAACATGTGAGGGGTGTGCCAACATGTGTGCGGTGAGCGCATGCGAACGCTGGCGTTTGGGCCTTTCGGTGGGGCTCTTCTATGGGGCCACGAAGCGTGCCAGGGGTGTGCCAAGAATGCTTGCGGTGGGAGCATGCGAACGCTGACGCTTGGGCCTTCGGTGGAGCCCCCTGATGTGGCCACGAAGCGTGTGAGGGGTGTGCCAAAACTGGCGATAGCGATGATGGTGACGATGCTGATGATGATGATGATGATGATGATGATGCTGATGCTGATGATGATGATGCTACTGATGATGGTGATGATGAAGCTGATGATGATGCGAGGAGGAAAAGGGAGGGGGCAGCGAGAGGAGTGAACGCGGGAACCGTTTCTTCAAAACGAGGACCCAATACCACAGGATTGTTGGGAACAATGAGTACGGCGGGAATGACCTATCAGGTCGTGGATATGGTAACCCCGGAGGAGTCGGAACGGGGAGGGGGAGGCGAAGAAGGATGCGGAGGAGGAGTGGTGATCCAGGTTTCCAGCTTGCCGTAGAGGCTTGCAGAGATGTCTGGATCGCTCCAGGGACCTATGGGAACTTCGAGATCATCCTCACATCTCTTTTTTTCGGCCCCTGCTAATCCTCTGGGCTGTTCTTTCATCCTCAGACTATCTTCGGTTCTAGATTTCTCGACTTGTCACCAACCCGGAGTAATGAGGGTACGCCCCACCACTCTTACCAAAAAGAGCAACACGCTTTCTAAGGCAACGTTGTGGCAAACGTTGGACACGGTTACGTTTGTTTTTGCTAGGGTACGGGAGGTGGGCCAAAATGTCGGTTGTACGTTGACCGTTGACCATTCATCAACGATATTACGGGTGCGCTCTCTCACGCACACGCATACCATACACCTTGTTGGACACGCCGACGTATGTTCGTATTGTGCTTGGACGGGGATGGCTGGAGTGTCGACACATTTTCCGATGTGTGCTGGCTCGTGCAATGGCACTCTTGGCACATGTCTGCGCGCGTCGCGCACGCAGCAAACCTGGCGCACAGGTCGCATCCCGCGCTTCAGGCGCGTCTGGTGCGCTTAGGCACTTGAGCGACGACGAAGTCGGTGACGGCCGCAGCGACGGCGACGACGGTCACGACGATTGCCACCCGTTTCCGAGGAGCGGCCCCACGACGACGAGCGGTGGCTCGCGGTCATGGGCGTGGCCTTCCGCGGGGCCAGCACGGGCAGCGACCAAGCCATGCGGTCGGCGGAGGCGCTTGTGGGTCGTCGTCGTCGTCGCCGTCGTCGTTTTCCTCACCGTCGTGACCGTCGTCGTCGTCGTCGTTGTCGTCGTCATTGTCGTGCTTCAAGAAGTTTTGCCGTCGTCGCTTCCCGTCCCTTCATCCTCTTCCTGATGCTACTGGCGCGCCTCCTCCTTCTCTCGCCTCAAGCTGCTGGTCCCCCGCTGTCCGCACCGAGGTTGGAAAAGAAGTTGCGCGGGAGGAGGGGGGAGGGAGGGAGGAATAACAGGAGGATACGATGTATCATCCCAGCACGCGCTGCTGATGCTGTAATAAACCGTGCTACAAGCAGTCGTGCACGTGGACGTGCGACATGCGTGATCCGGAAACACTTCCGCAGGGACGGCCAGGTGTTCAATCGTCTGCAGAATTTTAGAAGGCACCGCTGATTGAGCATAAACTAATGACATCAATTCACGGGGTAGGGGCTTTACTAGACGTGCGCCTGCGTCCGAAAGCCAACCACTTTCCTGGTGGATCATGACGGTGTCGGACCCCTCCTCCCTCATCACATTAGTTTTCCATGTGTCTTGTCGGCGGTGTCGCGTCCTCTTCCTCCTCCGCCGCCTCGTCCTCTCCCTCCCACATCCCTCTCCGTCTCGAACGGGACCTTGCCAACAATCCCTTGCATGTGTCCCTGTTCACTGTCCCCCCTAGTCCAGCCAGGCCTTGTGCCCGTGATATTCTCAGGTTGCCTCATGTTGTTCGCCCCGTAAAAAATTGGCTCCATACGCGTAGCGGAGCAGCCTGCTCCGCGACCGCTCGCACCAGTTATGGCCCACGAGGCTTCCCCGCGTGCTCGCGGCGACACGTCCCGCATCGTGCTCGCGCTGGTTATGCACTTCGCCAGGCAAACGCCGTCCTCCGAAGGGACGGCGGGACCAGTCAGGCCTTGCCGCCACCAACGGCGCAGCAGACCCATCGCATCTATAGGTCCAAGAGCGCGCGCGAAAAGGACCGCGCCGCCCGCCCAGCTGCCCTTCCCTTCAGATTTTTTCGGGCTGCACCTGAAATGGTCAGGGTCCTTCCGTCGTCTCGGCAGTTGCCTATGAGTGCTGGCGTCGAAGTCGCACCGTCGAGCGATCCGACTTCCACGTTCACGGTGTCAGCACAGGGCCCCGACCTGTTCGGAACCATGTTGCGGAAATCCTCGGGGCAAGCGGCAAAAGACGCATCGCCCCCAATGCATCCGCATGTGAGAGTAGCCGACCATGTCAAGCAGCCGTTCGATCCGACGCCCACATCGCTGGCGTCGGCAAGGCCCCCCGAGTTGTCCGCAAGTGTGTCGTGGAAACCAGGGGAGAAGCGTGCAGACAGGAACGGGGATGCCAAGGAGAGCCAGGCAACTATGTGGCCACCCTTCCGGGCGACCCGTCCAGTAGTTCGGGAGTGTTCGTCCTGCTCTCTGACAAACCAGGATACCCATGCACACTCCTCTTGGCTACCGTGCTGCTGGCAGTGCTCAGTACAGTGACAGCCCGAAACAAGACGATATCATATGCAATTGCGTGGCGGAGCGCTCCGAGCGCAGTCCTAGCGCCAATCGCGCGATAAGAGAATGGGGACCCAATGCGGTGATGAGGAGGAGCATGCCAGGGACAGATGCCCACGACGGCTCTGAGGATCACTACCAGAGAGCCACCGCTGGCGGGTACCAGGGCCGTCGCGCCCCCTCACCACCTGGATGGGGCTCCACTCTGGATGGGAGACCATCGAAGTGGGCGCGGCCGCTGCCATCAGCTCGTCGCCTGCGTTGGCGCGGGCGGTTGCAGTTGCGGCAGCGCGCAACGCCTCCGCATCTGGGGGCCTGAGCAGCAGGCCCGCGCCCCCTTTCCCAGGCTGGGTGCGGGAGGTAAGGTCGGTGGCGAACTCAGATTCCAACGAGTTTCGCCGAGCGGAATGGCTCGCGAGAGCGTGCCTGAGCGGCCGCTTGCTATTCTCGTCCAAGGTGGCCATATCAGCGGCGACCCAGCGCCGCCCATGACCTACCTCGCGCACAGCATGGCCAAAAGGCGGGGCCAGGGAGCAATCGCCGCGGACGACCCCGAGCTGCGCAGTGTTCCCATGGGACAGCGCGGTGCGCATTTCTTTAGGGCCCGCGAGCGTGCCGAGCCCGGATGGCGCCGCTCGAAGTGCACCGAGCCCGCGCGCAGCGCGCGAAGGGTCATCGATCGCGCGGGCAAGGGCCGAGGGAAGGGCCACCGCGCCCCCCGTGGCCGACTTGTCCGACGACGACGCGCGCGAGACCTGAAGGCGTGGCAGGGGCGAGGGGGCAGTCATGCATTTGGCCGGTGGATTTGTGATTTGGCCAACAGGGGAAGCCGCTGGGCCCGGGCGGGGTGCGTCTCAAGCGCCGCGAGTTCGACTCAGAACAGCACTTCGCGCGCGACCGTTCCCGTCGGCCCCGGCAATGGTGCGCCCTCTTTCTCGACGCTCCTCCCGCGCACGTGGGGCGTCGCGGAGCGCCTGGGCCAGCCGCTCAACCGCTAGGTCCAGGTGCGCGCCCGGTCTGGGTGGCCGGAGACACCTGCGAGATGGCCGAGCCCGCGGCGTTGGGGTCCAGTGACGGGCCCGCGCAGAGCGCCGATCCTTGGAACGGCGGCCAGCCGACTTCGACTTCGGTAGCTACGCAGCTACGCGGCCAGCGCCAGCTGCAGCGCCAGACGCAGAAGCTCCAATTGCTTCGTCCGACGGCTCCTGGCAGGCATCTGGTCAGAGCCATTGGTCAAGTTGGGCGGGTACTTGATAGTCCCCATCGGCTGCGCCCAACGAATTTGCGGCCGTATTTCGGCGACTGCGCCGGGAGGTGGGCGACCTCATTGGCCGCGCGCGCCAGGGCTCTGCTCAAGCGGTGGATGGGGCAAACTTCCGCGCGGTAGGAGTAGGGGCCGCGCCGCCTGCAACAGCTGCGGCGCCCGTGGTTCCAGCCGTATCCGCAGCGCCGCCGCCGCCGACGCCGCCGCGCTGGGCCGGAGTGACTGGCGCTTCCCCGGTGGGGCTATTTCGAGGGCGCGACTGGGCAAGCGACGTCAATGCCAGAGTCGTTATGCCAGCGAGCCCACTTGTCGACGTGCAAATGCCGAGCTGGGCCGACATGCCATCAGTCTCAGCACTCGGCATCAGCGCGCCGCGCGAATCGAGCCGCATGCGTGGCCGCCGCAGTCCGCGCCAGCAGCCGTGCCCCCACCGATGCCAGCGTCTCCCAACGATCTGGCGTTCTTTTACCCGCGTCAGCCAGCCGTCTGGGAGAGTAGCCGCTCTGTTCGCCGGCTGCGACATATGTTCGGCCCGCAGCGCGGGGTCCGAACGCCGAGTGGGCCCCGCATTCGACCGCGCGCAACGACGACACTTCGGCGGACTTCGCGGCGCCCAGCTCGCACTTGAGCTCTTGCGTCCGAG